GTGGCTCAAGTGGTAGAGCGCTAGCCTTGAGCTGAAGAGCTGAGGGACAGCGCCCAGACCCAGAGTTCAGGCCCCAGGACCGGACCCAAAAAAAAAAAAATGTCATGGTGTGTCATTTCCTTGAAATGCTTTTCCCAGGGCTTAACTTTGAAGTAATCTTGAAGGACATGCTGATGAAATCTCTCTCATTAACATCCATATCACATATGAAATAAAAAGAGGAAACCTAGATTGACCTGGATATTGGGACAATAAAGAGTAAGGAACATTATGAAAGATTTTTTAAAGCCCTTCACTTTAGAGACAAACACATCAAAATAACGTGGGACACGGTTAAAGAACATAAGATGGTGGATGTGCTCCAATGCTTAACACAGTTCTATAAATAAAGGATGTCATTTTTTTACTTAACTAATAAGGCTTTGGTGATTTCTTATTTGCTATTTTTCCTGAATAAGCCAGAGGGTGTTTTTTTTTTTTTATCTCCAGCAGTTGCTGTATTGTTTCTATATAATTTTAGATGTGCAAATGACACAAAGGTAAACATTTGCTTATATATTTTTAAAGTTCGTATTTCCTCCTAGGAAATAACAGGCCCAACCCCCAACATGAGCTATTTCCCTTGTGTGTGCCTATGGTGTGTTCTTTGGCCCTAATTTTGTCTACCTCCCAGAATACTGATACTGAAATCACAGGTCACCTGGGAATCCCCCATAAATGAAATGTCCGCCATACCCTGAGTTGCAGGTCACTTTCTCTGGGACTTTCCTGTGCTCGTCTGAGACCAGTAGCCAAGACAAAGAGTCCCTCCCTGTTTGCTGTTACGTCCTGACCCTCAGTTTTGAACGGAGAGCCACCTCACCTTCCCGAGCCGGAAGGCGAGCACTAGGTGTTCTGAGAATGACTGTATGACTCAGAATTTGTGCCTTGGGCTTTATCCCCTGTAAATGGTGCAGCTGCCTTCTTTGCCCAGCCCTTCTCTTGCGTAGAAGGGCCTGATCAGCTCTGCATCGCTGCTGTATTATTACTCTGCTCTTCACCAGACCTTGCCTGGTGGAAGTATGGATAATGGTGTGCTCATTTCCGGCTATGAGCAGGATCAACTTCACCTAGATGGCCTAGCTCGAGATCTCTCTGTCCATTTGGATCACGTTCCTGTGCTCAGTGGCTGGCAAGCAACGACATGAGGATGGTGGACGGAACCCTTCACCTCACACGGAGGGAAGCCGAGGAACACAGGTGTTTCTCCATAGCTGCACCAGACGCTGCAGAACAAGAATCTGCAGACTCCTTATGTGCGTACATCCTCCCTTGGCCACACAATGTAAATACTATGTAAATCATTATTATCCGGGGTTGTTTAAGGTATGGCGACCAAAGAAAAACACAAAACAATGCATGCTTACTGCACACTTTTTAGAACAAATTTCAACGCACAGTTGGCTGCATCTGCCGAAGCAGAACTCACAGATGGGGAAGGCCAGCTTGTGTGGAAGGAGGGAGGTCTGTGTTCTAACATGTCTCGGAATCTTCCAGAGGGGCTTCTTTGCACGACTCGGTCTCGTCTGGAAAGCACGGAGGTCATTTCCAAACCCTCCACTCACATTCTTGCCTGGGTTTCGTGTGGCAGGCAGGGAGGTGAGGTGGAGAAGGATTTGAATGCGTAGCGTAGCTAATTTTGAGCCAAGTTAAAAGCGTGGCTAGGGAACATGTGTTTTGTTTTTGCGATACAGTCTCACAATTCTTGATCCTCCTGCTTTAGGCTCTAAAGTCCCGGGGTTGACAGGTATGCCCCAGCACACCTGGCTGAATCTTTTAAGTGATTTAGAGAAATAACTGTGCTGTAATTGACTGTTAATTTTGTGCAGATAACTTTTCTGCAAAAAAGTTTGAACCCTATGAAATCCTCTTTTTTTGGTAACCACGGTAAACTAGAGAAAAGTGCTGGGTGCTGGTGGCTCACGCCTGTCATCCTAGCTACTCAGGAAACTGAGATGTGAGGATCACAGTTCAAAGCCAGCCCGGGCAGGAAAGTCTGTGGGATTTTTTAGTTTTTTGGTCCGTCATGGGGCTTGAACTCTGGGCCTGGGCACTGTCCCTGAGCTCTTCAGCTTAAGGCTAGCGCTCTACCACTTGAGCCACAGCGCCACTTCTGGCTTTTCCTGTTTATTTGGTGCTGAGGAATCAAACCCAGGGCCTCTGCATGCAAGGCAAGCGCTCGACCACTGAGCCACCTTCCTAGCCCGAATCCGTGAGATTTTTATCTCTAATTAAGCACCAGAAATTCAGAAGTGGTCCTGTGGCTCAAAGTGGTAGAGAGTGCAAAAGCTCAGGGCCAACGCCCAGGCCCTGAGTCCAACGAAAATAAAGAAAAGAAAAAATAAAGCAAAGCGTGAGCCAATAGAGCAAGAGGACGGTGGGGTTGATGCTGACCGCTTGCAGTTACGAAGTGGAGATTGAGTCAGGGACAGTGAGAGCATGGAGGCAGGCATCTGCTGTACCACATAGATCTCATGTGTCACAGCCACAAACTACTTCCAGGTAAGTAAAGTATAAGTAAAAGCGGCTCTAAAAACATCACCTCCAGAAGGAGCGGACATTGTGCATTCAAAGTGAACTTTCAAATAGCGACGCTCTACACAGAATTTAGATCATTGTAGGTCTAGCTGTTCTCGGAAGATCTGGGTCTTATTTTACACAAAGGCATTTTTTCCAAGTTTTCAACGTGGCTTCTATTTGAGGGCGCATTGTGGCTCAGATTTCTGTCTCCTGTGGAACTTCAGGGCAAGGTGCTTACAATTACGCTGTCTTTGAACCTGGCCTGGTAACGTACAGAGGCCCCTCCCCCACGGCGGCCGGGTGGCACCGACGCAGAGCTTCGACTTTCATCCCAGCTTTGAAGACGGAGACAATTTCAGCAAAAGAGGTAAAAAAAAAATAGCTTTGTCTTTTCCTGATTATTACACTTGTCATGTATGATTCAACGTTAACTTACAAGAAAGCATGTGTTACAAGCTAACGATAGAAATATTACCCTTGCTGTTTTATGAAACAGTACCTCACTCACAATTATAAAGCTCTTTTTCTCCTATAGTAAAGTACACATTAAAATAAAAACAAGTCAGCACCAGTGGCTCATGCCTGCAATATTACCTACTGGGGAGGCTGAGCCTAGAAGATTGCATTTGGGAGCTATTCTAGTCAGAAAGTTCAAGAGATGCCATCTCCAAAATAGTCAGCAAAAAGCCAGGCTTGGAGACACAACCCAGGTGGTAGAGCACCTGTTGTGAGCAAGCAAGCCTAGCTAGAGCATGAAGCCCTGAGTTCAAACCCCAGTGCCAGCAGAAATAGACTGAAAAATTAGAAAGCCACCTAATCAACTTTCTGATGTATTTCTGACCCCACCAAAGGTGGGGTCCCTATCTACCAAGTCAGCTTCATTTTTTCTGGGAATTTTAACGTATCCTTGAGATACATGCTAAGATATCATTTCACATGACAGTCCTCGGGCTGGGAAGGTGGCTTACGGGTAGAGCGCTCGCCTGGCATGCATGAAGCCCTGGGTACCGCATACACAGAAAACACCGGAAGTGGCGCTGTGGCTCAAGTGGTAGAGCAAAAGAAGATCAGTGACAATGCCCAGGCTCCAAGTTCAAGGCCCAGGTCTGGCAAAACACAAACAAAAAAAGCACATTACAGTCCTGATAGACAGAGCATAAAAGATGAATGAGTTTACCCACAGGCTGAAAACGTACCATAAAAAAAGTTAACTGCTACTTGACTGAAGGAAATTAAGACATACTAATGAAGTAAACTGAACTTACTCATTAGAATTATAATACTTAACGTTTCCACATTTACAGTATCTCAATTAACCAGATTTTGCAGTGTTTTACTCCACTTGGTATTCTATTTCTGGACATGAGTCTTCTCATCGGTTAAACTCATGGCAGGTTTTAGAACCCAGAGCTGGTTATGACATACTTATCCTATCTCTGAAGTAATCTGTTGTTCAGGTAAAAACAGTGGAAACCTCCTAGTTAAAATACTGAGATAATAAACACAAAAAATGAGTCAAAGTTTTTGTTTTCAAGGAGCTACAATGGGAAAATCCAAAGATGATAGATAGATAGATGATAGATAGATAGATGGATAGATAGATAGATGATAGATAGATGATGATAGATGATAGATAGATAGATACATAGATAGATAGAGTGATAGATAAATGATAGATAGATAGATAGATGATAGATAGATGATAGATAGATGATAGATATAGATATGTATATGTATGTATG